ATAAGTTTGAGTCATTTGATGTGCTGCCGACCAGACCCATGCCCGCCCATTAAAGTCATTTGTGGCTTTGAATGCAACTGTAATGTTAAAAACAAAAGTGCACAGCAATCGACGTTCTGCTTAGTCACCGGCAGTTTTCTTTGCTTTTCCTGCTTCTCACTGCAACAGTAAGGACGTTGTTGACAACATCTGTTTAACACTACAGGGAGGGGTCCAAACAATAAGGCTTCTTCATCTGAGTCAAACTCAGGTCACAACTCTCTAATTGTAGCCAGAGTTACTGAAAACAAACTAAACCTCGGATGACACAAATGTTTTATTTCAATTTTCACTTTTAATTGTTTACCTTCTTCCCAGCTTTGCAGAGAATTGCAAGCAAATTCCACACAACAGCTGCATACATGTAGGTTAATAATACATAAATTAGCCTACAATAATACTTTTTTTTCTACAACCCCAGCCTTACCATGTAATAAGCTGTGGGGCTGGCCTGTGGTTTAGTGCGTAGGTTTAAAACAAAATTAAAAATGTTCCTTCATTTAGTTGTCCACCATGCAGGATGAATGACCTCATGAAGAGTCTAATAACTGATGTGGTTTTAATCTTTTTAACGTAAGGGGGCATATGAAATATTATCAGCTCGTAAGTGAAGCAAATTAACCGCACAGAAATGAGTCATAGAAATAGAAGAGCCTTATCCGCCCAGGGCATAACCTTTTTTTAAATCAAGAGAAAGAACTTTATATTGTGATCATTTCCACCTCGTTATTCAATTACGCAAGCTTTTTCAAAGTCTGCATATTTTCCTGCCATGTAGTTCCTGTTTCGATTTATTTTGCATGGCAGACAGTTAAAGTAGCCCGTCTAGACTTTATAAATTCCTCTTACATCACATGCATCATATTTGGACATTTGTGTCCCTGATACCAATTATTTTCTACTTCATCTTATACAACTATAGTAGGTTGATGAAGTAAAAAGTGTTCAGCATACTGAGTTCACTGCTCTCACAGCTGCCATACACAATCACTTCACAGAGTTTAACATGCAGACTAACTCTTGTTGAACTGTGTTAAAGACGCCGACACGCAGAATGTTCTTCTTGCCTGCTTGGCCCGACACCAGGTTCACATCACATTCGCTCCTCGCTGGATGCTGCCTCAAAGCCGACGCACCTACAGTTTATTTTCCAGCAGAATTACAGAAGCAAGAAGCCCCCTCCATGAGTGTTTCTTGTAAGAAGTCGCTCAACCTTTCAGAACACTTTTTTTCCCCCCAGTTAGCGAAACCTGTACAGCATAAATCCATATTATCAGATCAGCTGAAAAGAATCTGGCCCCTGTGGTTGTTTGTCGACCACCAGAAAATTGTATTTACAACTACACTTAGTGCGACTTTAACCTTGACCAACGCAACGCCGAGCGTGGTTGTTTGGAGCCAAAAGTATGCGAGGGTGGAGGCAGGTTTTGGGATTAGTCGACCACATAATCAGCACGCCCTTCTGCATGTTCTACCTGGAAGCCATGTTGCTGGCATCCCTTGAAAGTGTTCCCCATGAAGTCGTGTTGACAGACGGTTAAAACGGCGAGACGTACCAAAAAGTAAATAAGTACCTCCAAAAGCGTCTACAGCCATAATCAAGTCCAGAGCGTTCCCTCTATCCAATATTAGTTTTATAAATAGATATTATACTAGGCTAAATTGGAGACAGGATTTCGCCCGCTCTGTCTGTCATGAGTTTTCTATTATTTGCTTTCACTATATAAAATATTGAAACCCTCAATATCTGGTTACAGATTTCTGCTCGCTCAGCCAGTCTTTATGTTTTGGCGTCACTCGGGGGCCTCACACTCACAGCAGGCTTTTGAATGGGCTCCAATCAAGCATTTTAATTTAAGAGGCACAGGAGAAATCTTCACCATATGACTTTGTTATTAATAAATTCACCAGCCATGTGTTCTGTCAAATCTATAGCATTTTTCTTTTTTGAGCCACCGTATAGCGCCTTTTTATTTGTCAGTAGTTCAAGGCTTGAAGCTCGTCTCGAGTTTTATCCCCTCTGAGCGATTCATTTTGATGCATTTGAAGTGTCTCTCTCTCGCATACTGTGCATGTGTCTGTCAGGCTTTCTCCCTCACAGAAACTTGTCGAACAAACCAGACCACCTCCCGGAACCCTCCAGAATAACCTCGCTACAACTGTGGTGAGGCATGGCGCGATTCTCACACACAAGCCCTCACTTCCATTCATGCAGCGCAATAAGCCAAACATATAAAAAACATTCCCACCCTAATAAACCGGGGGCCTTTTTCTCAGCCACAAAGGGTGCTGGCTCCCAAGACAGTAACACTCTTCTTTTTTTTTTTAAAGGGACCCCTGTAAAAAACAGTCTGCAGGGAAAAGGCTTCCAAGCGGTGGGAAATGTGGTGACAGACATGGCCAAGGATATGACCCACCATATCGGCCCAATCACAGCCGCTATAAACCAGGTACTCCCCCGATGCACTGCCAATATGTCCGAAACTAATTTTTTTGTGTAGTTAATACAATTCTGCTTCATATGGGGAAAGCCCGGTGTTTTTGTGGACCCTACTCCTTTAAATAAAGTGTCTCAGAAATGCTGCATTCTGGTTAAGTAGTGGAGCTGCTGTGTGAGAGTTAGCAGGTGTATAGCCTCATTGTGGTTATTATCAGTGAACTGCAGCAGCACTTTGAGTCTGCATCAGATTAACGCCTCGTTGACGCTAAACTCTCCATCCGATGTTCTCTTCTTTTCTAACTGTTAGACTTTTTTTTATTACGCTCAATAATGGACTGGACGCCATGAGACGACAGCTGCCTTGTCTGCTTTCTTGGTGACTTGTTGTGTGTGTGTGTGTGGTGTGTGTGTGTGGTGTGTGTGTGTGTGTGTGTGTGTGTGTGTGTGTGTGTGTGTGTGTGTGTGTGTGTGGTGTGTGTGTGTGTGTGTGTTGTGTGTTGTGTGTGTGTGTGTGTGTCATATGGTTGATGTGTGTGTGTGTGTGTGTGTGTGTGTGAGCGTGTGTGTGTGTGTGTGTTTGTCTCATTCAGCTTAATCGGAGGACTGAGGTTTCTGAGGTGAGGCGTCTTCTCGCTTCTCACGCAGTGCATCTGATGTTGCTCATCACATGCTAACATGTGTTCTCTGTCTGCACTGTGAGATACGCTAAAATGTTAAAGAGTTACCAATATAACACCAGCAGTACACACTGAGTGTTTGTCCTGGCCTGATATGTGTGATAGTGCTGGTGTCTATTTTTAATAACAGAGTACAAGTTTGCACGATTAAAAAAAAAAGGAAGAAGAGGTGTTGGACATTTTTTATTTATTTTTTATTTCCTTTTTCAAATGACTGACATTTTGATTAGAGCAGTATATCCTGACATCCAAATAGATGTATACATTATTTCCAGAAGCTTAATGTCACACGGTATTAAAGTCACAGCTCAGGGAAGCCAGACATTTAACAGTGTCTTTGATTTTCTGTAACCGTTCTTCTTAATTTCAGTTTGATTTGAGTTTTATAAAAGAAAGGGAACTTGCCAAATTGCTTTGCCTGTGTAATGGAAGTTGTTAAACTAACCGCTCGGGTATTTTGCTTACATGAGGTAGTCCCGATTTGAAAAGCTTTCAGATTGAACCGGCGTATTTAATGACTCTTGGCCTTTGTTCTCCCGCAGTTAGGTTTCAGTCTCCTGACAGAGTGAATTGTAAAAGGATATTGCATATTCACTAATGATTTCCAATGGATGATTACAGCTTTAAATGCTTGTCTCTCTTTTCCCCTCCTGACCTACTGTCTCACATCGCGTCTCACTGCTCTGCTAGAGTTCAAAATCAAAATCAGGCGCCCCAGCGGCACGCATAAAACCTGGAGTTGGTGACACGCTGATCTGTAAACGGGGAAGAGATAAAGGGATGCAGATCCCGCGGTTTTAGAGTTGAAAAAGCGAGGAAAGGCCTGAGCCTTGTCAGGAGGAAACTATAAAAGCCTTGGTGTCTGTAGAAGCTGCGAGAACACTGGAACATCATCCCCTGTCACTGCGGTTCCACCGAGGATATCAGAGGATTGTTCTCATGTGAGACGCAGATGTGTGTGTCCGTCTGACTGTGTGTGTGTGAGGCTCCAGAGAGTTTAAGATATACTCTGCAAACAATTAGGTGCTGGTAGTGCTTCTTCTGTGGCTGTCTCTAATTAAACTGCAACGAGGCCTTAATTGGGAAGGAGATTTTTTTTCCTGCTGCCTTTCAGTGGCTGTCTTAGTGGTTGTGTGACGAACAGTGGGAATATCTGAATCCCCAGGACGCCATCAGATTAACAACTTCCACAACTACTTCATGTTATCATCACTAACAGGAATAAAGTCAACAAGCTATTCTAGCTAAAACCAGGTAAAAGTTGTAATCTCCTTCTGCTTCTCCACCACGCTTAAGAGCTCCACAAGTAAAAGCCGTCTGATTGGAATAACCATGGCAACAAATGGCTTCTTCACTGAGGCTGGCGTTTAGCTTCGCCAAGTATAGTGCACTCACCTCACCACATAGACCAAAAGTACCTCCTGGAAGTAAAGCAGAGAGCCTAATATGTTTGTGTTCTTTTTTTTCTTTTATTGTATTGCCCTGTTCCAGTAAAGGGCCCAGTCACATGGAGCCTCTGAGCTCGTATTCAGCAGCGAGAGAGAGCGCCGAGTTTCACTTGATAATGAATGTCTGTGGTGAGAATCCCATTATGGCGCTACTCCATCAAGCCTACAGAAAACCCTGGAGCGCAGAGGCATTTATGGGCCATATCAGTCAACTAGATGAGGGCAAATCAGATCCTGCCTCAGTGGACGGAGAGATATATGCATTCACACATTGCTTTTGTCAAAAGAAACAAGTTGTCAAAGCTGTACATTCAGAACTGGACAGAGGGTGGGGTGGTGGTTGAAAGGAGGGGGGTGGGGGGGGGGGGGGGGTAAGGGGGGAGGATCAGCACTCACCTCTGAGTAGACTGCTGCTGTAGTTGGAGAAGGAGTCAAAGATGCTGTTTGATGCCATGACAGAGAAGACAGAACGGTGAGGAGCCTGCTCTTCAGTCGATCTCCGCTGACCTTTGAGAAGAAGAAAAAGAAAACAGATCAGAAACAAAGAGTGAGGAGGAGGAGGAGGAGGAGGAGGAGGAGGAGGAGGAGGAGGAGGAGGAGGAGGAGGAGGAGGAGGAGGAAGGAGGAAGGAGAGCGGCGAGGACACAACTCCTGGAGCTCGGAGCAACCAAGAATCTAGGGTTTGTGACTACCACAGGAATCCCAAGCCACAAGCCTGCAGAGAGAGCAGCAGCATGTGTTATAGAGCGGCAGCACCGGGAGACTTTCAGAGAGAAGAGGAGAAACTGAGAGAAAGAAACAGTGTGTGTGTGTCCAGGTGTGGACTCACCGGGGTTGGAGATGATAGGAGTACCTGCTGGACGGAGCCTGGGTGGTGGAAGCGGCGGCGGCAGCGAGGGCTGGGCTTGTGGTCCTGTGTCACGCAGCGGGCTGAGGGTCTGAGGTTAGCCAGCAGATCCTTTCTCTTTCTCCTGCACGATGGTGGTGGCCTGACTGGAGCGTCGATGCTAGTAAAAGGCTAAAAGCCACAGTGTATCTGCATCCTCCTCGCCATCCTCCACAAACACACTCCCCTCGGTGAGTGGTGGAGCCCACGTCACATGTCACGTGAGGTCACCGGGCCTCTCCCTCCCACCCTCTCACCCTCCCTCCCTTCTACTCCTATCGCATTTGATTTTTTTTTCTCTGGTTTCTCTGCGTCGGTTTCTTAGTTTCCATGCTTCTCCTTCTCTGACTCGCCGGCTTCACTCTCACTTCTGATTGGTCGTCCACGTTTTGGAAACATTCTATTTTTCTTTTGAGTTCAAACCAGGCACTGTGGCTCGCTGAAACCGCTGCAGAAGAGCTGCAAAAGTATTAAACCAAACACACATTCAAAAGAGAGAAAGAGAAAAGAACTGAATGAAAAGAGAAAGAGAAGTGAGAGATAGCTGTGGCTTCAGAGGCAGGAGAGTGTCAGTCTAGCAGCTTCACAGGACCACGTTGTTCTCGACTCTATATGCATGTCCTGTGTACCTTTGTCTGACAGCACATCTGTGTTTGAAAGAGCGGCCTGCAAACCTCCACCCATCGATAGTATCATAATCTGAGCCTCCTCAGAAGCAGCACTGCCAGTAGATAAACTCTGTTTTCATATTTTTAGGTTACATCAACAATCATTTCTTTTTCCAGCACTCCTTTCAAAAATAAATGCATATTCAATTGTAACTCCTTAATATAAACTCACCACCTAATACTATTCTTTCAGTTTAAGTTTGCATGGCAGTTTGTGATTTTTAACCAAGCCTTTTTGAGCAATATGAGAAACCAATAAAAGTCAGCCTAGCGTAGTCTCTTCCCCCCATGTGAAAATGCAAAGCGATTTAACCTGATTGTGGTTTCCACACTTTTTAGGTTATTATTCTACTCATTCAGTATCAACCTAAGTTGTGACTTCATTGCATTACTTCCTTTTCTTTCTTTACAAAAAACACTTTTCCTGCTATTTATTTGAAAGCTTATTCTGCACTTATGCAAGAAACAGGAAATGATTCATTCTGCTACAGATTTGTACCGAAGTGTAGCAACGAGCCACGTGATAAATGCAGTCAATCAGGGAAAAAGACTAACTGTTTGTTGTGGTACTGTTAACCTGAAAATCCTGTGTGTGTTTGTGCCTGTTTGTGTGTGAGTGCACAAATCACTGGCATTTGCAAACCTGTGGTATCCACACTTCCTCTCTCCTTTCTCCTGTCTCTCAGTGACACACTGACCATGTCTGGCCACGGGACAACAGACCCAAACCACCGTCTGGTCACTCATGTGAAGTCTGTGTGTCTCAGAGTATGTGTGTGTGTGTGTCTGAGAGTGTGTGTGTGCCTGGTGCTGTTACTCCTTCAAACTGCTCTGTGTATGGTTGTCAGGCCACTAGGTCCTCTGCTAATTGGTGGACAAGGCTGCTGCATGGACCACAGCATGTGTTTGTATGTTTATATACAGTACCATGTTCTGAGTGTGTGTGTGTGTGTGTGTGTGTGTGTGTGTGTGTGTGTGTGTGTGTGTGTGTGTGTGTGTGTGTGTGTGTGTGTGTGTGTGTGTGTGTGTGTGTGTGTGTGTGTGTGTGTGTGTGTGTGTGTGTGTGTGTGTGTGTGTGTCAGAGAGGGAGAACTCTTCCTGGTAGCCCGCACTGCCCTGTAAATGAGCAGTTGCCGCTGAGTTAGGCGGCAGCGCGGGCTAAATGACACGGCGCGTCGGCAAGTGTGGCCGAACTCTGAGGCCACAGCCGCGGCCCCAGGGCTTTTATCAGTCCGGCCACGCGGCCACTACAGGCCTCCGACTTAACCTCACACACACCGAGGCTTCCTCTCCTCACACCTCTGCTGCCTCCCGACATGGCCTCGACTGGCCTGCCAGCCCAGGGACAGATTACAGCTGTGACTCTGCACAGCAACAGGGACCGCTGTCACAGAGGCCTCAGGGAGACTCTCTGCTAGGCCACGGGCATGATGGCTGAAGGGTTGTGCTCAGTCATGTTTGAGATTCTTTAGCAATGCGCTTGTGTGTATGTAAGGGAGGGTATTTCAATTTAATACCATGATTATCCTGTCTAAAAACCTTGGGATTCACAATTTTAACCCGATAAAATCTGCTTAAAACAATTTCATTTACATTCGTTTGGATACAAATACTTGTATTGCTTTGAAGATAAGATTTTTTTAGTGAACATATTTTTTTGTGAAAAACAATCCAACAATCTTATTTTGTCAATCCCAAATAAGGTTATCATAAATCAGTATTTTCCCCTGCCTTGATAATGTAATCTTTTTTTTTTATTTGACCTGTATTTTTTTTCTTCACACATAAGGATATTCACAATTATCGAGACGGAATTTCATCATGATTAAATTCTTTGCAGTCTTTTTATCGAGATAAACAATACAATCCTAGTCCGATCCCCGTTTTAAGACATTTGCAACAATTTATTTTTGGTATGTTCCATTGTGAGTGGAGGGTCTCTGCTGGGTCTCTGGTGTCATCCGGGGTGCCAGTGCAACGTTTCAAAGCACACAGGCTTGTGGTGGTTTCAGTTTATAATACTTTTTAGTGAGTGTATTTGTGTAAGTGTGACATGTTTCTGGTAATGATTAATGTTGTTTTTGAGATTGAAGTGTTTAATGTATTTTCTGCCTGCTGTTTTTCACAAGGGGAGTCTGTTTCAGGTTATTGTCAATTTCCTTATTCTCGTCCATTTGTGGTGGTAGACGTTTGCATGTCGAATTTCAATGAGGAATCGAGAAAAGCTAAACAAATACAATCCCACAGCATTGTGCAAGAACGGGAATTGTCTCCATTGTAGTGCAGTCCAAAACCTTGACATTTGAAGAAAGCGCTGAAGTCGAGGCCTTTTTTTCTCCGTGCTCAGACCGCGCTGTGTTTTTTCTTCTTTGTCTAGGTAAACATCTGCTTCATGTTTTGAAATGTATCTCATGGCTGTGCACTGCCCATGACCGTGAGGGGAAAATAGTCTGAAGATCATTGTGGCCGTCTTTCACTCAATTCTTTTTTTCCCTTGCCCAGGCCTTGTTTATCAAGCCCCTGTATTTAAGCTTAATATAACTCCTGTTTTGCTGAGAAAACTGTGGTGGTTTAATCACTGTCAGTGGTCCTACGCCTCTCGGGTGTGGCTCGCGAGGCAAAAAGGACCCGGTGCGGTCGTGCGTCCAGCTGCAAAGGGGCTTATTTTGTGGTCTAAAAATTGCAGGCTTCCCCATATGTTCCCTATAAACGTGGAATGCAGCGTGGGACTTGAGGAGGCTTTTATAATAAAGTGGCCGTCATTGCATCAAACACCACGGTCCTGCCTTCCTCTGGGACCGGCCATGGGAGCCCGCTCTTTTTGGGGCTGCATGCACGGGTCCAATGTCCTACCTGCTCACTCACACCTCATAATGCCCTGCTCCCTCTAACTATATTACACTGCTCATTCCCTTGACTGATGGTCCTCTCCACTTTCAGTACCGTACCCATAGTCTGTACGGATTTATAACTTTGCAAGGATTTAACAGATTGAAAGAGTCCCAGTTGGCTTCACATAAAAGTGTACATGTTACTCTTAACATGATACTTTTAACAAGGATTTATTCCGGAAGTTCTCATGCTAATTCTCTTTTTAGAAACATCGGCAGCAAAACAAAAACATGTTTATTTTCCTAACTTGTCACATTTTAAAAAAAACTGATCTTACTTCTTTGAAAGTTGCAGCTGCATGACAAATGACTTTTGTAAGGGACTCAGCATTGATCTGTGTGTGTGTGTCAACATGTGTGAGTTAATATGTTGTTGTTGTTGTTGTTGTTGTTGTTGTTGTTGTTGTAAGCGGGGCACTCCCAGATGCAGTGGTGTGAGCATGCAGTATCCCGGTTGGAAGTGATCACCGGGCCCATTATTTATTTATTGGCTCCAGCAGACATGGAGAGCTGACTGTGGTAACCACACAGAGGAGGGGAGTGGGAGCGCTGCATCGCCACACACTGAGAACTCCGTATCCCAGAGTTCCTGAGGGGTGGACAAGTATACAGTAACCTGGTGTAGGACCAAGACGAGTCCGGGTGGATAAAGGGCTGTGAGGAGTGTCATTGCAAGGTGGATATTTATGGAGAATGTCAGATTCATGACGGGTTCTTTAACTGAAGAATTGTTTGACCTGTGATTTAATGTTATAAATCACATTGTTCCCATACATACAAAAAAGCATGAGACTGCAGGGTCATGTGAACACACAGAGATTGAAAATAAATTAAGAAAATGAATTCCAGTGCCCAACACGAGTATAAAGAGAGTGGAGCACTGGACTCTACACATAAAAACACTTCAGTGGTTCTGAAGTTAAGGCAATTTGTAATAAGTGACCTTAATGACCTAATAGGTGACCTTAACCAGAAACACTTGTTGTTATATTCCATGGAATGCTCTTAACATCCCGATACTAGCAATGAATAAATGAAATGCTTTGACAATAAATATATACAAAAATGCCATCTGTGGAATATCTGCCCCGGCCGGCTAAAATAACTGGATGGCCTACCTGCCTGTCAGCCTTCCATCTGTGCACAAATGTATCTCGTGCCCTCATTGGTCATGTGCGCGTTCGTGTGTGTTGGAGTAAGGAAGTGTAAGGAAGTGGCAGATTTTTTCCGGTTGTGTCTTTTCATGGTATTTTCAAATTCTAGCGCACTCGAGCTGGTTTCTCCATTCTTACCTACCCTACCTTTAACGTTGAACAGTTAATGTAGTGGTTATTTAATTCACATTACGATGTGGTGTGAAGTGATTACATATTATGCAAGTCCTATGATAAACAGCTGTACAATTAAAAAGATTTGTTTTGCATCTCTTGAGAGTTCGTACTGTTAAGAAAAAAAGAAATCTAAAAAAACGCGCAAATTGTTAATATCAGAGTCTTCGTGATTGTGCTTTAAGAAGAAACGTATTTCCTAAGAATGGGTGA